GACGCCCAGAGTCGCTTTTCTCAGTTACAGCGCTTTAGGGCTCTCGCCCTAAAACACAAAGAAAGGCCTCACAACGAATTTTAATGTATCAGCGGACTACGGAACAAAAAAAATTAAGTGAACGAAACTGAAGCTTGTCGTATGTAGAAGTCAAATCTCTACATTACGAGTGTGATACCTTGACAATATATGTTACCTGATATATACTACACCTGCTACAAACGTTTATCAAAATTATGCGCGCCTATTTATTTCAATGCTCTACCAGAGGTCTGTTGGCCATGGCAATGGTGCTGGATGTGTCACTTCTATAGTACTCAAATGCGCCAGAGCTCAAGCGAACGCACCAAGGCTTACAATCTAGATAGAAAATCTTTGTGAGCAGTTCCATAGCAGCGAAGCTGCAGAAGACAACATAAGCGCGTGCGAATATGGACAAATAGAGGTATTCCACGAATTTCATCTGCATTGTGATGGATTATTTTAAGCCCGACATTTTACTGGGTCAGGTTCTCGTATGCTGTTGTTGTCGCCTAACGTAACACTGGCAAAACCACATAGCATAGTCACCTGTATACTTTTGAGTGCGCGCTCGCGTTTGCTTGTTTGTTTGTTTGTTCGTTTGTTTGTTTGTTTGTTTGTTTGTTTGTTTGTTTGTAGCCTCTAATCCATGGCTCATACCCACTCTGTGGGATTGGCCAAGAGAACATATAGTCTCATATGAACAATACCTGCACTATTGCTTACAACGAAAAAAAGGAGGGGGAGTTGTATAGTGAAGACAGTATATTAAAAAAAAAAGAAATCAAAGATTGAGATAGTGAGAAAAAAATCAACAAGAAAGTAGACACTAATAGCTATACCTTGATTTTGGGAGCTGACCAGACAGCTGGTCTTGCCAAATCCAATTAATTTGGTATGTCGCGGATTTATCCAGATTTGAAAATTAATTTTCGATCCGTTTTTTTTTAGTACCTGGTAACATGGGCTTTATGTTTAAAAACGTTTACAGTCTTGAATAAAGTTACACACCGCATGGAATGCATCTCTGTGGCAATTTCCCGAAACAGAGGCACCAAAATTTAGAACATTTTCTGTGGTTAAGTTTAAACCTAGCTTCGCAAATAGAATATCTAGAAGTCATTTCCTAATTAATGCATAGTTCCGACATGACCCAAAATAATGTTCCATATTTTCTGATCCTTCGCAAAACGGACAAAGGGGGAAAGTGTCAGACCAGCTCTGTGTAAATAAAAATTTAATGGAGGGACACGGCACCGGAATCTGGAGATTATAATTTCACGTTTTTTTGACGGACTCCACTGGGCTTTCCATGGAAATTTGAGGGGCTTATAATCCGTCCTTTGTGTGATATTTTCTAAACTATCTGTAAAAAATAGCGAATTTCCTATACCTAACCCCTGACAAGTATTCTAACTCGGGAAGTACTGAAATTACTGGTCCATCAAGTGATGCTCGTGCCAAAGCATCTGCCGATTAATTTAATTATAATCCGCAGTGACCTGGGACCCACACTAATTTGAGGAGTTTTAAATGGGGCGGTGCTAATGTGTGGAACGCTGCTAGGGCACGAGATTGTTCGGAGGTTGTCAGAGCTGCACACACCGAAAGTGACTCTGTTAGGATGGTTGCACTGGTCTCGGTCGTAGGAATTTTTCAAAGAGCTAAAATAATAGCTACTAGCTCGGCTTCGATTATAGGAGTAAAATCTGGAAGCCTTACTGAAAAAGAGCAGCCTAGGAAACCAGACGCAATTCCTACGCCTGCCTTTTAATTGTTGACAGAAGCATCTGTAGCTATTACATTTTTTTTCTGCATGTACAAAGTATTTTTTTAATGTAGTGGTCAAAAATCTAAGAGATTGCAACTTGGCTGTGGGGGGAAGATTTCATCCTACTCTATTATAATGTTGAGGGTTGATGAATTAGTTTCAATTACTGTGCTAATTGCTACATTTATGCAATCCAGATTCTTTTTAACAAAATTTACCTGAGGGGTATGAAATTGAGGCCAATGTGCAAGAAAGAAAGAATCAGGGTCGCTGATAAATGCGTACTCTGATCTTCGCGCCGGTAAGCTGATGCTGAGCTGGTGATCTGTGATGGATGGCACTCACCCACAGAAGGGGATGGGCCAAGAACCGGGCGGCAGGATACTTAAATGAAACTAAAATGAAAATGAGCCAACTGGAAAAGTAGTTTAAAAATAATACTAGCAAAAAACAAAAATGGTTGCTGAGCAAGCGGTCAAACCATCTCTTCATTGTGCTAGACATAGCTACTAATTATAAAATAAAGATCTGAAAAGGTTAGGGTTCACCAGCACGGTAATCTTTTAGTTGAGTTGATGTAATCAAACACAGTGGAGCATATATCCCTGTGGCAGTAACCAAATGAAGTTCCGCCAAGTGATACAGTTACTGGTAGATTTACTTGTATTCCTAGCTTTTGTAATGGGGCTACTAAAAATATTTTTCTGTGATAAGAATAACGATGACAGAATGAAAAATGTTCAATTGTTTCAATTTTGTTGCACTAAATGCATAACGGTGATGCCTTGGGTCGAGCTTTGTTAAGGTATTAATTTAGTTGTGGAACTACACAGCGCAATCTGGTATAAGTGACCTCTAACTGGCGAGATACACACCACTGTTTATTCAAGCAATACCTCAAATCCTCGAAATATTTGAATTTATCCAAAAAAAATTTTCCCCATTGCAGGCCAGCATTTTAGAACCTTAGCGCTGTCCCGTAAGCCGTATCTGACAAAACCGGGATGGTGGGCCCACTCAGGGATACTGCTGCTAAAGAGTCCGCATTTCGTTCAAATATAATCCGGTACACTGTAGCGTTAAAAACTGATTCTTCTTCCTCTTGCTCTTCGATTGCCTTGTTGATGACACAAAGTTCGGGCATCACTACGATGGCCAAGAAAACACAGCAACACAAGTCGTGTATAAATCTGAAAAGAGAAAAGCGAGAAATATTTTCCATCCAAAGACATGAAAATAAAAATAACAAAATACGAAGAAAAAAGTTAAAAAGACAGTAAAAGCATAGGGATAACTGGAAAATAGAACATGAAAGAAAGAGAGAAGGAAAGACAGAGATGACGAAAAGAAACAACCACCTCTAAGCTCCGAATATGTTTCATAATATGGAGGAAAAAAACACACAAACCTATACGGCGGGCTTGGCAAGCTTAAGGGGAAGACACTTCAATTTTTTAATACTTCCAGCTACAATCGAAACAGCAGTGTGCGGCTGCATGAAAATCCTTTGTAATACTTGGCAGAGCTTCAGAATCCAGTATATGTTCATTTTCATGCTGATACAAAAAGACATCTTACAAAATAGCAGTGCAAACATCATCGACACCAACGTCGCTCTCTGCTTGAGCAAGCTTCCGCGAGCCTGACTGGACAAAGAAGAAGAACGAGTCATCCTTGAAGCGCGTCTATCCAGCTCGGTCTCCATTTACAGGACGTCTACATCCATTTTGAAGCCCTGTCTGGCTCCCAAATCACCACCGTGGGCCCACCCACAGGCTTGCTGGTGCTGTGATGTGTAAGTGGTCCACGTGTAAACAATTTCGTACAAGTGGCGTTCGTGGGTGACTGCTCAACGTGTGATTGAACAACCTATGTATGAGCAAAGCAGACATTCATCTAAGCAGAGCAGGGAGGTCAACCAACCCCTATACATAGCTTTTATAGATTACGAGAAGGCGTTTGAGTCAGTCGAGACATCAGCAGAAATACAGGCACTATGGAATCGGAGCATCAAATAACCCTACATAAATGTACTGGAAGAGATTAAAGAGTATCCACAGCCACCATATTTCTCCATAAATAAGGCGAAAAATAAAGCAACAATGAAGGGTGTAGGGCAGGGATACACGATCTATTCAGTGTTATTCACCGCGTGTTTACAGGAGGTATTAAGAACCCTAAACTGGGAAGTGTTAGGGATAAGAGTTAATTAATCGAGAGTGGCTTAGTAGCCAGCGATTCAATGATGACATTGTCTTGATGCGCAATTCAGGAGACGAATTACAATTCATGATTACTAAACTGGACACGGAAAGCAGAAACATGGCCCCGCCGAGGTGGTGTAGTGGCTAAGGTACTCTTCTGCTGACCCGTAGGTCGCGGGATTGAATGCCGGCTGCGGTGACTGCGTTTGCGATTGGCCATTACTATGCTTGCAACTTGGCAAGTGCTCACATAGTTATCAAAATGTGGATGTGACACATGTAGGCATGTTCAAACGACATTTATCTGCGCTATTTTCGCCAATGTGCTGATTGTTAACTCGTTTTTTTTTGCTGGTACAAAAGGTCTACCGTTTATGCAAAATAATACGGGATTACTCTCCCACCCGCGAAAAAAAAGCAGTGCCTTCCAATATGCTTACTGCAAGCAACCGCCTTGCCTGTTGTCGGCTGCCAGAGATAGTGCTCCGCACTTTGGCAAGGTTAGCGCCAGCTACATGCATCTCAATCTTGAAGAAATTCTTTCAACTCGATCGTACGCCACGGTCATTATCCATATCTCACGTATGGCTGTTCTCATCTATGTGAAATCCGGAGTACTGGTAAAATTATGGTTCTCACGAGACTGAAGCAGCACATTTCTTCAACTGGAGTGTGGCAGATAGGGTTTCCACACTTTTGTCTCGACTTATTACCGCACTGTGAGTCCGTCTGATGGCGCTATTTTCTAATGCGTGCTGCTGTATAGCAATCCCCTTTTCAGATTTTGGGGACTTTTCATTATCAATGAGAAAAAAATGAACAGGCAATTGGAAAGTTGCTGAAAACAGCGAAGTTTGTCATCGTTTGCGCGTGGCTATAACACACATGTCCCACTAACGTTTTGATAGTAGAGTACTTGTCAAGTTTTACATATAAATGTGGCAAATTAATGCAACTTCATTAATGAAAATGTTAGTTCTGGCAACTCCTGTTTATCCGTAACAATGCGTACTAGGTCTGTGTTGAAGTTGTGCTGCGTGATAGCCGAGCAATCTGTCGAGTAAGTATGTGAAGACGAATAACCAACAATGCACTGCAATAACACAATTCGCGACGAATAAATTAGAGCATATATAGTCGTGGACGACGCAAAACTTAGCCTCGGAATCAGAAGGGGGCACAGACGAAAGATGGCGTATTTATGTTGGCATGGCGTATAAGGGCAGATATTTATCTAACGAAACCTACAGACAAAGCCAGAGATAGAACAGGAGATGTGGTTTGGTGTTGTTGTTTTTAAGCGTAGCGTAATAATTTTGACCTAATTTGAGAAGAATCAAAGTGCATGCAAGAATCACCATCTCCGTTGGTGATATCTCAACCCACAAAGTTCGAATGACTCGTGATTTGAATGTTGTGGACTCCGATCCAGGAGAAGGGCAACTAAACCATTGCCGATAACTTCGATGGCGCCGCAAGGCATCAAGTATAGATGACTTTGCCCCTATACTTGTATATTAATTTACAACCCGAGTGCTTCTCGGCTACCATCTCAAATAAGCCTTTTGAAGTGCGCTTCTGTGAGAAAAACACGTTTGCAGCCTATACTATAACACATCACGTGTTCTTTGAGAATATTCATTTTCTGTAGGGCTTCGTTGACGTCATTTCCATCACAGAAAAGACGGAAGTAAAATAACACTGTAGGTTTTCTGAAAATGCACTAGAGAAAAGTATGTAGCTATAGTCTACGGAAGCTGCAACGCCCGGCGCGTCAGACAGCGTGGCAATGATGGGTAGTACACAAATTTGCCTATTCTTGCCTATAGTCTTGGTTCTTTTTGGCTCCTTTCGGCTTCATGTGGCAACAGGAAGTTCAGCAATCGCCCAGCAGTTACGCTACATCTCCTTGAACGTTTTTTGGCTCAAGAATCCAAGTCGGCTCACAAAGTTCACAACTGTTCATTCCTCCATCTAAAACAGAACCAAAACCCAACAACAAACAAAATCACAAGTGCATTCAAAACCCGCAAGCGCGACGGCTAGGCAAATTTGGGCACTACCCATCATTTCCACAATGCCTTAACGCTCACCGTGCTAGAATCATCGTAGAAAACTCTGAGTTCCCTTGCATTTGTGCGATATCATGAGGTCACTTGCACCCCCGATTCGGGTCATATACTTTGGGCGTCCATATTGGCGTTCTTTTTTAATTCTTTTCCGGTAGCTATTCCACGTCCGTCATAGTCGACTTAAAGAAAGCTTAGCTGGTTTGAAGTTGCGTGCAAGTGGCACGTGCACGAAAAATAACGATGAATCGCACAAGTCACAAACACGCCTGGCACAAGTGTATGTGTACGCGCCTCGTGCGGCACGGCCGGGCTTATAGTTAGAGTTGCGGCACACGCCCCTCTAGCCCAGTGTGGCATACCAACAGGCCCAGCTGGCACTCACGCATTCTTTGCCCGCGGGCAGGCACACGGGACGGCCTAGTGCTCTCCCATAGTGGAGTACTAAGTACTCTAAATCGTTCATCAGTTTTTTTTTCTAAACACAACTAAGCATATATATGCAATGTGCTGGTGCTTCACTCCCTAGAATTATGCCACGGGACGGCTTTGAGCTCTCAAATAGTAGTGTACCGAATACTCGCTCTCAAATAGTAGTGTACCGAATACTCTAAAATTTTAACCACTTTCTTTTTACACATAGTTATTGTCTAGCTACATCGTTCAGAAATGTTCCCAAACTTAAATTCCTAAACTTCAAGACCATAAAGAAAACACGCAAAACGGGCCCAGGACGACGCGTCGCATCATTCCCGTGGGAGCGTTGCTTGAAATGGATATTCGAAGCAGCTTTGCCCTACGTTAATGTCAAATCTGCGATGTGAAAGTGAGGAACTGGACGTGTTGGGATAGCGTGATTTAAAATAGAAGGCGCGAAGAAGATGAAGAGGAAGAAGACACACACACATGTAGTGGGCCCTGTGCATGTGTGTGCGTGCATGCACGCACGCACTCATACACACTCATATTAACCTTCAACCTAACTGATAGTACTTTTCTGTATACACGCGTTTACTTTTTCTATCAATGGTGGTACTGGTGAAAAAGATTCAACTGTCTTTCTTTGTTGCTTTTTTTTTGTTTCTGCAGCGGAAACGACGAACCTCACGACAGCGTTGTCTTCAACGCTGCTCCCAGGGGCGTCTGCCGCAAGTCAATCTGCGGCTACGGAGCCCTCTATGACGGCGACGCAGCGTCCACCTTCACGAGAGGGTATACGATCCTTACGTGAACTAAACTTGTCAGAAAAAAAAACTGGGCCACGCTGTAATCTTGTTCAAAACACGGAAAGCTTTTAGGGGCGAAGCTCGTTATGCCATGGGCCGTGCGTCCCCAAGGTATGTTTTGTTGTTGTTGTTGTTGTTGTTGTTGTTGTTGTTGTTGTTGTTGTTGTTGTTGTTGTTGTGTTGTTGTTGTTGTTGTTGTTGTTGTCGTTGTCGTCGTTGTCGTCGTTGTTGTTGTTGTTGTAGCAGCAGCAGTAGCAGTAGTAGTAGCAGTAGCAGCAGCAGTAGCAGCAGCAGCAGCAGTGGCAGCAGTAGCAGTAGCAGCAGCAACAGCAGTAGCAGCAACAGTAGTAATAGTACCAGTAGTAGTAGTATCAGTAGTAGTAGTAGTAGTAGTTATCACAGTAGTAGTAAGTAATCACTTCTTGTTTAATCATTGGAATGTCCGCTGGATGGTGGTACCTATATAAGATAAATACGTAATGAAAAGATGCGAGATGGCGGTACTTGGAGTGTTCACTAGATGAACAGTGGACGCACAGACAAGCAGACGGACGGATGGACGCGCGGATCGACGGAACGACAGACAGAAGCATGGACGGGTGGACAGATGGACGGAAGCACGGACAAACGCTTCGCCTCATCATCTTTCGCTCCGAGGAGATGCTGTGTTTTTTCTGCTTTTTTTTTCGCAAGTCCACACGCTTCTCAGATTTTGCATTATCCCAGCGTATTTTTTAGAGAAGCTTTATTTACGTCTTATTGAGAATCCTGGATATTTTTAATAATCATACAACAGAAAAATGTCTCGCTATGTTTGAGCACTCACAGAACAAGTTTACGTATGACGCTGACCACATACAACGATTTTGCGAACTTGTGTTAAGAATCTTCTAGTGATGTCCATACTTTGTCTCTGATATCAAATCTAACGGAGTCGCTTTGCTGCCGGCAACACGTAAGGTGATCATTGTCACGTTCCCTGGTGTTAACTAGAAGCCGTACATCTTCTCATTTAACATCACTTTAGTACTTTCCACTATGTTTTATACCAGCTTTGTCCAATGCATCCGCAGATTGTACTGCACTGGCAACGACCGATGTCATTGGCATGTTTTTCTTGTGAGGCCATCCCTCATGCTTAACGGGGTAATAATAATTTTTGTAGTTTTATGTCCCGAAATCATGATTTGCGATTTGATTATGAGAAACACCGTTTCTGGAGGATTCCGGAAATTGGAAGATTCCGGAAATTTTGGCACTGTTTTTTTTTTTTGCTTTAACGTGCGCTAACTTTGAACAGCACACGGGCCTCTATTCATTACGCCTCCACCAAAATTCAACCACCTCGATCGGAATCGAACACAAAACCTTCGGGTTAGCAGCACAGCAACCAAACCACTCCTTATCAGGTTGGACATACAGAGGTGTGAAAGTATAGATCAGGCCTTGGGCTTGTTGAGCAAACGTGTCCTGCGGATAGCAGGCACTGCTGTGAACCTCCCATTCAAACCTCGCAGTCGTGCGCTGCAAGGGGTGTTCGGAAGCGGAGCACGAAAATGTCATTCTATCTAAGACCCTCTTTCACTACGAAAGACTGTAGTACTCAGTCTCTCCGTAACTACCAGCGCCTTCTATATTGTCACGTGCTTGCTCAAGAAAGACGATGGCAGTTGTGCATGTGCCACGAAGGACTACGAAATGGACGTAAAAGAAGAACTCGCTTGCGCGTTCTAATTAAAAAGATCGACCTGCTTCTGGTGTCTCAATCTCTCCGGCAAGACCTCTGTTTTGACGTCGTGACACTGGTGGAGGTGCTGGAGCCTACAACCGGATGCAGGACAGTCTTGCTCGGACCCGTTCACCTAGTCCAGAGACCCAGCCCCTCGTCACGACTCCGGTGCACCGATTCAGTCGGCGCCTACTAGGCCTAAGTCCGGAGTCCGCACCTGTTCCGCCTCTAACCAGTATGGCAGCTCCTACCGCATCCACGGCTACCCTTTCATCGCAGACCACTCTTCCCTCCCAGGTGACTCTTGAACATCCTCGCGTTCCTGAAGTTTTCCATGGGGAAGAGTACGAGGATGTCGAGGACTGGCTCGAACAGTTCGAACGGGTCGCTGTATCTAACCACTGGAACGAACAGCACAAACTTGGCCGCGCATATTTTGCCCTGGAAGATAGCGCTCGCACGTGGTACGAGAACCACGAGGCTACTTTCCAATCTTGGGAAGGTTTCCGTCGAAAGCTCCTCGCCACATTTTCGAACACGGACCGACGGGATCACGCACAGCAACTGATTGAGGCTCGCGCACAAAAACCCAACGAAACAGCCGCCATGTACGCAGAGGGTATGATCCGTCTGTTTCGACGAGCTGACCCTGACATGTCCGAGGCAAAGAAGGTGCGTCACCTGATGCAGGGTGTCAAAGAACCAGTGTTTGCGGGCCTCGTACGGAATCCACCTACAACAGTAGATGAATTCATAAGAGAGGCGACTGTCATCGAACGCGCACAGCGACAACGATACTGACACTTTGACCGCCTGCCGAACTACACGGCAGTAAGTGCTGCAGCTGAGAGCACTGCCGTATGTGAAAGTTCCCTGCGATAAATGATTAGGGAAGTACTGCGTGAGGACCTTTGGGCCCTCTTCATCCCTCCTACCCAACCGCCCATCGCATCTGTTGCCGAAATCGTCCGCCAGGAGTTGAGGGAGGCCTTTACACCACCCGCGCCAAATCCTGAGCCACATCCAGCGACCTACGCTGATGCGGTCCGTCGTCCTCCACCGTCATTTGTGGTGACACCCTTCCAGCCACGACCCGCTGCCGCGCCTTGGTGACAACGGGATTCCATGAGACGACCACCATTTCGCCGAACTGACTTGTGGCGCATGGCCAACCGTCGACCTATCTGCTTCCGCTGTGGAGAACCAGGTCACATTGCCCGCTATTGCCGTCATAGCGATTCCGGGTTCGGGAACTTTTCTCGTCCCGCTTCTTTCCGCTCTGAAAACCATCGGGCCCACGATGCCGATCAACTGTCGACTGGCCAAGCAACTACACCGCGTCGCTGGCGATCTCCATCTCCTGCGGGTCACCTTGACTTTCCTCAGAGCTACGCGGACGTCACCAGAGGCCGTTCGCCTAGCCCGTGCCGAGAAAACTAACTGCTGCGACCTCCGGGGGCAAGGTTGCCAATCGTCGAGACACCGAAAAGTTCCCCCTATCATCGCAAAAAGATATGACGACAACCACGACGAATACGACGACGAATACGACGACGAATACTAATGCCGGTGGAGTTGTACGTGCTGATCTTGGCGTTTTCATTGACGGACATCACGTTACAGCACTGGTCGACACTGGCGCTGACTTCTCAATCATGCGACAAGAACTCGCCGACCGCCTTAGAAAGGTCAAGACACCGTGGACAGTGCCGCACATAAGGAGTGCTGGTGGTCAACTGATGACTCCAACGGGTAAATGCACCACTCGACTTCGCATTGGGGATTCTAGCTTCGTGGCCACTTTCGTCCGGTTGCCAGGCTGATGTAAAGAGCTAATTTTGGGCATTGATTTTCTTCGAGATCATGGCGCTGTTATCAACATCCCTCAACGTATGGTGACGTTTTGCGTACATCCATATGTCCAAGACAGCAGCGACGAACCACGGGGCCGTTTGCGAATAGCCGACGATGTGACGCTCCCACCGAGATCCTGCTGCCTTGTGTCTGTGTCCAGTGGGTGCCCTTCCTATAAAGATGTGATAGTGAAGCACATAGTCGCTCTTTTGCTCACTCAAGGCATTTCTATCGCGAGAGGCATCCTAACGCTTACTGGTGGACAGGCAGAAGTGCTCCTCACAAACTTCAGCAACGAGCGCCGTCAAATCCAGAAAGGTACGGCAATTGCCTACTTCGACGATATAGACCAAGCCGGCGATGGCTGTGCTTTGCAACCGGACGACGCGACAGTCCCTGCCTCGACAACTTTGTCGGTGGACATCTGCTCCACGCTAGCGCCCTCGGATAGGAAGTGCCTGCTTGGACTTATACACCAATTCAAAGACTGCTTTTCACGTACGTCAAAGGTCCAGCGGACACCATTGACCAAGCACCGCATCATTACTGAAGACAACACGCGACCGATTCGGCAGAACCCCTACCGTGTGGCTCCGAAAGAACGCGAGAAGATTCAGAAGCAAGTACAGAAGATGCTCGTGGATGACGTCATACAACCTTTGAAAAGTTCTTGGGCGTTGTTATGCCAGCGAGTCCCCGTCAAACGTCCGTGCCTCGGAAAAAGGCAATCTGGGTCAAGGCCAGCCCGCAGTCCGCCTGACGCGAACATCTCAACGGCGTGAACACGCGCGGCGCCTCTCTCGCCCACGTGCATTGAGTCAGCGGCGCACGTGACAGCGAGCCGGCGTTCTCGTGTCTGGTGGTCTGACGCATGGCGCGGCAACCCCATTGGAAGAATCTGCGCTGACGACCAGCGGCGCTTCTGATTGGACATTTTGGTTGGACCCGGTGTAAATAAAAGAAGCCCTGCGGCGCGTCGCGATCGGAGGTCCTATGAGAGAGGAGTCCCCATGTCGGAGAGCCGACATGTGTGCGAGTCGGCGGTCTTAGGCGAAAGGCTGATCTATGTGTTAGAGAGGAGAGCTCGGCTCTTCGAGTCTCTGTCGGCCCCAGTGCCGAAATTGTAACGCCTCTGTATATATGCTGTACATAAACCTTGTTTAACTCACCGTCGTCTCGTCCGCTCGTCTTATCAGCTCTGCGCAGAAGCAGTCGCGAGCTGATAAACATAAGCTACGCAACAGTGGTGGCAGCGGTGGGATCGGCCGGCGTCAGCGACATCGATGCAGTGAGTGCCTGATGTTTTCCCCTCAGTTCACCACACAGGCATTTGAATCGGAAAACAAACGGAAGCCGCTAATCTGCTACAACTGCAAAAAGGAAGGACACATCGCGAGAAACTG